GTGTTTCAGACGTGCCACCTTCGATCTGAAGATAAAAAAGAAAAAAAAAGAAGAGCAAAGCATCTCATCAAAGATAATGACAAAGTCACAAAATAATGAGATGATGATGATTAAGATACAAATACAAAAGACTTAATCCATCAAATTTCAATGGAATAAGAAAAAAAACTAAAAAAAATAATAAAGAAGAATAAAGTTGAGAAAAAAAAAGAAAAAAAGAAGTACGAATTGATATAGAGAAGTAAAAAATTAAATTTAAAGGAAAGATCAAATTAAAAAAAAGAAAAAAAAAATAATAAGATCTAAATGACTATTGAAGGGGGGTTTTTAAAGTATTTCTAAATAATTCTATTTTTTAATATTTTATTTTTAAAAAGAAAAAAAAATGAACTTAAAAAGAACTTGTACATATTTTCATATGTCTACCCTTAATTATAAAATTGTCTTGGTAGGTGATGTTGCTACTGGTAAAACTGCATTAATTCAAAGACTTATTACAAATGGATTTACTGAAGGACATGCACAAACCATTGTTGCATCATGTCAATCGAAAACAATAGTATTAAAAGATAATAAATCAGTAAATATTAATGTTTGGGATACTGCTGGACAAGAAAGATTTAGATCATTGATATCTAATTTCTATAGAGGGTCATCAGGAATTATTGTATGTTACGATGTATCTGAGAATTCATCACTTGATGTTGTTCCAACATGGGTTGAAGCTGCACAAAATTCAGTAGATGACAATGTGTGTTGGTTATTAGTTGGATGTAAGTCTGATTTAGTTAATTCAGTTGATGAAGAAAAATTAAAAGAAATTATTGAAAAATATCATTTTACTCATTTAACATGTTCATCTAAAACAGGAGATAGTTTGTTTACTTTTGCTTTTATTAAATAATTACTATTACTCTCATAAAGAAATTTATTATTCTTATTAATTAGATGTTAATGAAGTTTTTACAACGTTATGTCAATTAATTGTTGATAAATTAAATTCTAATAATGAAATTACAACTCCAAATAAACAAGAAACTGAACAACAAGATGATGAAATAATTAAAATAGTAGCTCAACCACAACAAAAAGAAGCAAATGGAGAAAAGAAAGAAGGAGATTGCAAGTGTTAAAGAACAAAAAAAAAAAGAAATTTGGGGAAGAGGTATTTAAATACATTCAAAAACAAAATAATTATTTTTAATTTTTGTTTTGTTTTCAATTTTTAAATAAATAAGAAACAAGAATGTGTTAAGCTTTAATTATTATATTAAATGCTGTTCCATCAACTATTCTTTTTGAAAATAAAGTATCATTATCATTTACTTCAGCTCCTGCAAAAATTATATTAAAACTATTTTTGTCATAGCTAAATAACTCTGCTGCTTTTTCTTTTAATTTGGTAAATGTTATTTGTTGTGGAACTGTAGTTTCAATAACTTTTTTTTCACATTTAAGTTTAATTGTTATTTCTCCTTTTCCAATTAATTTAGCAGTTATTTCATTATATTCTGTAACTAAGTAATAAAGTGGTTGAAATGCTTGCATTTGTAATGATTGAATAATATCTAAATCAGATAATTCAGTTGGTTCATTTTTTTCATTCATATAATATAATGCGATGTATTGTTTAGGTTGTACTAATACTCCATATTGAATAAGAGTATCTTTAACTTTACCTATTATGTCCATTTTTTTACATTTAATTGAATGTCTAATTTTTGGATTAAGTAAAGAAATGACATATAATACAATAGTATCTTCTTGGTCATTCAGTTTTGTATAAATTTTTAAATTAATTTCTTTTTTATCAAAGCTACTCACTGTTCCTTTATCGTCTAATTCTTTGTTATTATAAAAAAGATGAATATAAGATTTGTCAATATAATATGCTGATTCTAATTCTTGTTTAACATCACCCAATGTATAAGACCTTGGTGGAGTAATTTTTTTTTTTTGAGAAGATTCACCTTGTGGAAAGTCAGTGTTAACAAAAGTAAGAGAAACATAACCAGACATAAGTTATTAAAATTAAAAATATTAGATATTCAAATGATGTTTATAACATTTTTTTTTTGTTTTTTTTTTTTGATTTTAAGAAATAATAA